CCCCAAAACCCCAAAACCCCAAAACCCCGTATGGTAAGATATATATTGAGTAGATGATGATATTAATAATATAAATATGGAAAGAAAAAGAAATTTGTTAGTGTGGCATCTAGCATTTTTGATGCTAATACTACAAACATCATTATCGGTAAGCTGTTGGTTTTAATTTGAAAGCCAACCTCACTATTTCCTGAAATATCAACCAATATCTTTGCTTCTAAAATGATCTTTCATCAATACCTTTATCGTTTTTCATGGACTATCCTTCAATCACTATAGAATAAACCTAAACTTTGACTAGACTCCAATTCCTAGAGTCTCAGTTCTGTCCTTACCCAACAAACTTCAGCTTCTATTCCCTACTCTCTTTCTTCTTTTGCTCTTCTTTTTGCCCATCCTTCAAGAATCTTTTCAAATGTTAATAAAAAATTGAGATTCTTACCTAGGACGCTTCCTTGTTTGAAGGCAGCCTCCTCGAATTAGGTTTTAGTGGCTTTACATGGGAATTTTGGGTGCAGGAGAGGGCCAGTGGCTTAGAAGGGGTTACCTTAAGAAGGTTCTATTTCCTTAAAACTGCAGCACAGCTAAAGGCAGGTTTATGAAAGCGAAAGTGGGCAATTGGGCTTAGCAGTAGGTTATGAAGTCTAGTGGACTAGGCGTCTGTGGTGAAGGATGAGATTATTAGTGAAGGTGGTATTTTTAATGTCTAGGTAGAGTTTTGAAGCTAGATTTTGGCAGGAATGGGGGATAGTAATGTTTGGTGTATTGGTCGAGTTTGGTAGAGATGAATTGTATAGAGTTGAGTCTATTTATTTAGTGTTTCGTCTAATTGTATAGTTTGGGAAAAATTTCTAAAATTCCAATGACATAGCATGGTTTAATAACTTTGTTGGATTTTTCAAACTTAGATAATAATTGAATAAAATTCTGCCTTTGAAAATATTTTGAGGACGAGTCTAAAGGTCTTAGTATATAATATGATTTTTCCTAATCTCTCTACATTTCCTTAATAAAATATGAGCGCTCTGGACTTATAGTCACTCCAAAACTCAGCTGCTTTTCTATTTTATCTCATCTTGAAATATATAGCTAGAACAACTTTTGTTTCAAAGGTTAGACATTAACAGAAATTATGAAGAATGTTTTACATAACTAGCTGGTTGGGTTTTAGACACTATTTTCCTTCCTATATCAATTCTTCACATATTCAGGTAAAAATGCCTCTATCGAAATCATCTAGAGACTTACCATCGGTCTTATATTAAAATTCTTTCATAATTTACTGCGAACTCTTCTATCCTCCTTATCCAAGGCATACATCAATCAAAAATCTCGTCCAATTAGGGTATCCTATAACGCTATTTATATAAAACCTTATCAATCGATGAAACTTACCTAATCCACGACCTACTAATCTACCTCCAAGCAGCCATTCCTTTACCTCTAAGTGATCTCTTAGGGCACCCAAAATCCAGGCCTCTTGTTTAGAACAGCCAGTGCCTTAAGTCTCTTTCAAGAATTGGAGAGCTATTATGCCTTGGCATAGTACCGTGGGAGTGTAAGAGGAGATTATTGAGTATGGACTGAGATGGAAGGAGATGGTAGGGGAATTGGGGGAGGTGAAGGGGAGAATAGAGGTAGAGGATTTGGTAGTTTTGGTTTATGAGGAGCTCTGGGAAATTTTTTAGGTCAACTTTAGCAAAAATTATGAAAATTTCTTAAAAACCGCAAGTTTTATATCTATAATATTTACCTTTCCAACATGGAAAACTAACCTAACATTCCATATAGTGTAATCCAGGTTATTTTTAACGACGCCGACTCTTGTAGAGCCTGTCATCCCAGCTGATCTACATGCACCACCTACCATACTTGCACTGCTTGCCAGGCCAGTTTTACTTGTAAGCAAAATTTTAAGAATTTTTAATATGAATTTTTCGTTTAATTTGTTAATAGTCAATGGAAGCACTGGACTCTGAGAGAAGGAATTGTGACCACAAGGTAAGCAACAAGGGTTCAGGAGCGGAAGTTATATTTATAGGCGAGTTTTATTCGAGGTCAGCAGAAGTTTGACTTGAGTGAGGAGGTGGATGCTCAGTGCAGTGAGCGTATCAAGCAAGTTGTTATGCTTGAGCATCTGGAGAGTATTTTGATTTAGACTCTTTTGCATGTGTCTCTTCTTGTAATTCAGAGATGCAAATGGCTATTGAAGATGTGAAGTTGGGAGGGATTCCGGTTTGTAGAGGTTTTGACTATTTTGTCAACCCATTGAGCACAAGTACTACCGAATTAGGGACGATCGAGCATCCTTACAAAGAGTTGAATTCTGTATTTGTTGAACTCTTTCATTTTCATTCTCATTCTGACAGACAAATTACTATCCATCTTTATCAAGATACTACAAATTATGTGAAAGAAGGAACTTATTTGCTCAATATCACCAACGTCAAAATCATATCATACTCCTTAGAAGAGCTTCAAACAAGGAAGGCAAAGTAAACCATTCTGCTAAACTCTTCTATAGAATAGTTGCCATTGAAAGTGAAAGTGCCAATTCTCCACAGCTGCTACCATCTCAGTTTATCTTACTTAGTAAGTCTACAGGCTAATCTATAGGTTCAGCAGCTATTGATTACTCCTCTTCAATCTCTTCAGACTCTAAAATTTCAAGTGAAGACAAAGCACTTCTGACCAGCTCTGGCAACTCTATTCTGTATCTCTACAATAGTGGAATTACTCTTGAGAATGTCTATATGACAACTGAATATGCAAGCCTCTCTGTAGATAAAGTTTTCATCTCTCCAGTCCAGATGGGCTCAAAGCTCTTACAGATTAGGAATTCCAAAGTTATGCACGAAGGGAGGTTCCTGGTAACACAACAGCAAATGTCATTGGAAGTAATTGGCTCTGAGTTGGATTTACATAAGTCCCAAGGAGGATTTTATTTGCAGCTATCTTGTGTCCAAGGCCAACCAGCATTAGGTATTATGACTAAAGTTGAGAATACAAAGTTTTACTTCTCACAAGGTAATGATTGAAGTGTTAATAAATTTAGATCCTTCTGACATGATTACAACTAATTTTCCACCCTTTGTGCAGTATGGAGGTCAAGATATTTTCTTCTCCAATGTCACTCTGATGTTTTACGGAGACAGTGGTTCAAATGGATACAACTTCTTGTTGAGACCTGACCAGACATGAGATACAACTGATATGGAACAGAGAACTGTGAATCTCACAGATATTAAGATTCAAAATGATCCTTCTTGGACTTATGCACCCGAAGATATGCATTTTGGTATACATTTAAGGTAAGTCAACCAAGAGATATTTATTCCTTTTCAAAATATTCTCGATAAATGCCATTAAAACTGAATATTCTACCGTTATTCTTACAGTGAAAGCTCAACAAGTACTCATAAATCAAAATATGTCCTCAATAGTTTTGAATTCTCAAATATTCAGGCTAATTACTTAGAGTTGATAAAAATTCAAGGAAGTGGAGTTTCTCAGTGAGAACTATCAGATAGTTCGTTTGTGAACATGAAAACAAAATTTGAGTTGTTCAAGATTTCTGGATGACAAGGTACTTGTAGTGCTTAATTATCTAGAGCCAAAAATGATCAACAACTCTTTCAGCAATGTCACAATGATGCAGAATGGCCTGATCTATTATGAAACCATCAATGGAGGAATTTTCGACTCTATCACTCTGAATGATGTGCACCTTCTCGGATCAATAAAAATGAATCTGATCACTTTTATTAACTATGGAGCAGGCCAACTACATATCAAAAACTTCGACTATCTCAAAGGAAGCATTCACGACCAAAAGACCCTCATCAGCCTCTCAAATCCCACTGGAGAAACCCTACTATCCACCGCTACCATCACCAACGTTTCCTCCAGCTTATCCTCCTCCTACCTAAAACTGCTCAGCTCCAAAAACTCCACCCTCTCCTCCATCATCTTCACGAACGCTTCTACCTCCTCAGACTCCGACACGACAAACATCCTCCTAAACCTTATTGAACTCTCCTCGCCCAGCACATCCACCATCACGTTCAACTCAGTCCAAGCTGTGAACTGCAAGACCAGTGTGATCAGTATCCACAATTCCCTTCAGTCAACCCCTATTGATCAGTACATCAGTATAAATGACCTTTTCATCAGAGATCTGGATTATCCAAATCCTCCTTATATTATTACGCATGGAGAGATCTTCTCGACGAAGGTATTCAAAGTGGTCTATAATAGGCTAGTGATAGAGAATGTCTATTATGGCAATATTATTAATATAGCAAGCTTCTCACATAAGACAGATGAGTTCTTGGAGTTTAATGATAGCATACTGAGGAATATATCCAATTGTGGCCTTGCTGGAATGTATGGAAGTCAACAAGGTACTGGGATCACGACGAGAATACTGTTTAGTAATTTGACTATTGAAGATATGTACTACCACTTTTTGTAAGTTTTATTCGATGATTTTTAGCTCACTTTTTGGAATTTTGACTAATGCTGACCTCAGGATTATTAATTCAAAGATTGTCAGAACTACGAGTATCTTTGGAGCAGCTTTATTATGGGGAGATGGAACTAATGCTAAGGTTTCAATATATGATACTCTGTTCTTCAAGAATGGGGGGATAAATTCAGCATTATTTTATCTTCAAAGAAGCTTAACTGTTCATTGAACAAGGTAAATTATTTCTCTAAACATCAAATATAACTATCTAGATGAAACATAACAGAGAACTTTGCTATAAGCCATACAATTGCCTCAATGGATGGAGGAGCTTCTGTAGAATTCTATGATAGTGACATAACCAATAATTATGCATTTAATATACCTTTCACAGATTTCCCCCTAGCTGAAAAGAAGAGTATCATTAACCACTGCCGAATTAGCAACAACACAGTTCTATCCAAAGAGTATATCCAGGAAGTACTGATGGTTGAGAGTGACTTTAATCCAAACTATGCTGCAAATATTAGGTCAAATGATGGATATTTCATAGCTGATGGTAAGCTTTAAGAATCATTTTAGAAATTTTCGATGCAGTAATTGTAACACAAATGGGGGAGATAGAAATTGGAAACGGAACCATAATCTCAGATCAAGCAATGGTAATTAGAGCGGTTGACTCAAACATAATTATGAATGGAGTTCAGATCCTTAATATTAATACTAACAAAAATGTCATTGTCTCTGTTCAAGGTAAAATCTCAATTACTGATGTAACGATTGAAAATTTAACTATGGCAGGAAATTTCGATATTCTGAATGCTCTTGACTCTGTTGTAAATATCAATAAAGTGAGCTACAAAAACTCAAAGGCCCAATTCATGACAAGTTCATTCTGTGAACTCAGTATTGATGATTTTACTTCTGAGGAAGTCAGCAATATTATATATCTATTCAGAATAATCTCAAGTAAAGGAATTATCATGAAGAACAGTACTTTCAGATCGATATCTCCAAGCAGTACTTTGTTTGATATTTACTATTCAGACATTGAACTGGTCGAAAATGTTAGCATATCAGAGGTAACAAATTATGTGATGGAAATCTCCCTAACGGACGCAAAGTTGCTTAAGAACATTACTGTGCATAACTGCTCTAACTCAGTCTTGATTAAAGACTCCACAATTTCTAATTGGACTGGTTCGAAGTTCCAGAATTGAGGAAATGAGAATGTTGAACAAGGAGGCGCAATGAACATTCTTCGCAGTAATATGATACTTAGTGACTCTGAATTTGTTAAAAATACTGCCAAAAGTGGAGCTGCGATTGCAATTGATTGTGAAATCAATTCAAAATGAGAGAATATTCTCAAAAATATTGTTTTTAGCTCTAATATTGCTAAAATCCAGGGTGCAGGGATTTATTACAATATGCATAGACCAATAATGAGTGAAATAGTATTTACAAATAATAGTGCTCCATATGGTAGCAATATCGCTAGCTTTCCCTACAATATTATCTTCTCAAAAATCCAACATAACAAAGTGACAATAGACTCTGCTGGGAGTGGAATTATATTTGATGAAAGCTATGAAGTTAAGATAATAGACTATGATAATCAAACAATGAATTTGATCAATACAAGATCTGTAAAACTGCAGGCAGAGAGTTCAGATTCAAGTATCAGTGGTAAGTTTTATGGTTTTCAGATGAATAATTCATTACTATTTTGACCAATATATTCTTGTTAAATATTTTTGAAATTAGTCTAACTTAATTTTAGTTGGAGGAATTGATAACTCAAGGATCACTAATGGAATTGCAGAGTTATCAAATTTCACTTTTATTGCTGCTCCAGGATCTCAAGGAATCACATATAATATTGTTACCAGCCATATCGACTATAGCAAAATTGACCTCCTCAGTAAAGCAAAATTCAATCCTTTGAAAGCAACAGACAAGAGTGGATTTTTCGTTGCTTTTAGGTACTGAAAACCTGGAGAGTACCAAACTTCAGATGGAAAGTGAAATGAATGAAGCATTAAAACCTACTCTCTTGAATGGAACTCCACATCTTGTGATGCTTGAATGGCGAATGCAGAGTGCCAAGGCAAAGATCATGTTGAAGTGAGTCCTGGATACTGGAGGAAAAACCTCACTTCTACTCATGTTGCTCATTGTCTTAGAGAGAAATCATGTCTTGGTGGTTTTAACCCAAGTAGAGAGAATCCCGTTGACTGTGAAAAAGGGTATGAAGGCTTTTTATGCGCCAAATGTTCAGTCTCAGAAAATGAAAAATATCATCCATCTACTAATTTTGAATGCTCAAAATGTCCTTCTCCAATCTTAAATGCCTTTGAATTCATTGGATTTCAGATCATTGCTCTTGGGTTCATATACTTCATTATTATCATTAATATTAGGAAGAAAGGTGAAAACCAATTATCAATATTACTGAGAATCTTTACAAATTACACGCAACTTATCGCTGCTATTCTATCATTCAATATCAAGTTTCCAAACATCTTTGAGGATGTCTCTTCACAATCTGACAGGGTGAGTTCACCAGAGAGGACTTTCTTCTCATTTGATTGTTTCATTGATAACAATGAGGTCAGGATGTTTGCTCCCTCAAATGAACTGTTCAAGCTTGTCTTGTACTTATTTCTGCCTATTTTCTTGCTGATAGTGCTGAGCAGTGGAATTCTTCTCTACAGATTGGTCATGCATTTTGTCAAGCCTGAAATGACTCATGATTTGAAGAGATATATTGCAATATCTTTCATCTGCATTATATTCATCTTCCATCCAACAATGACATTCCAATCCTTGAGAGTATTCCAGTGAGCTATCGTTGACAAAGAAGACTCCAGAATGATGATGCACATGGACTACAAGTGTTTTTCAGGAGATCATCTCAAATGGATATTCCTTGTTGGATTCCCCATCTTAGTCATATGGGTGATTGGAATGCCAGTCATAGCCTTCATTATTCTGTACAAGAAGAGAAGCACCTTAGACAGTCCCCAAAAACAGAAATATCTGCTTCTCTTATACCAAGGGCTGAAAAATGATGCCTTCTATTGGGAGCTTGTCAATACTTTCAGGAAGTTTCTTGTCCTGTCTTTCAACATATTTTTGAGCACATATGACCCGTATTATAGAATCCTTGGAGCAATCAGTAAGTCTTGCGCTAAACTCTAGTTTCGCTTGTAATCTTGATGAGAATCCAGGAAAGGCTGAAGCCTTATAAAAAGGATTCGAATAATAGAATTGAGGTCATTGGAGTTGCAGCAGGAATCCTCACCCTATATTGAACCATTGTATTTGTGACTCCTGAGAGAAGGATCAATTCAGTTTATTACGGCAGTTTCTTGTTATTGTTCCTGGTGAATGCATTTTTCTTAGTGAATTGGTTTTATTATGTCTTATGCTACTTGGACTATAAGCACCCATCCTTTGTGACTTTTATGAAGATTTATAGCTTTGTTTTATGAAAGAGAGGAAGCCAATTTAACCAAGAAATAACAGAAAAAAGGCTCATTACTCACAATTCGAGAAAGAAGGTGATAAGAAATAGGAAAAAGAAAAGAGTTACGTAAGATGAATAGTTAACTTTGTTATAGAATAAAGAAAAATATAAAGAAACTAGATGTCAAGAAAAAGAATCTCCTCAAAAACAGGAAATCATTCTATAAGCATAATTCAGGGGCAAATGGTATGAACCTTTATATCTCTTTGAGTATCTTCTAATTTCCCATTAAAAGTTGTTCATGAGTATACTTTGATTAATTTTACCTTAAATAAGTGTCGTCAACTCATATTTTTACATTTCCTGTTGATGATCACGAACATGTCGTACCCTTAAAAGGCCAACCCGATTCCATTTGAGTTACTTAACCCATCTAGAAACAATGTCTAAAATGAACCCAACAAGCATGTCGAGAGTCGAAAATACCTCAGAAGTGGTGATTAACCCATCCTAGATAAATCATGCTACAACCATATTTCAACACTGAATTTTCCAGAGAGAAAGCTCAATATTGGTGGGATTATTACTCGGAGTTTTCTAATTGTGGATAAATCAAGAATAGTGGTATTTATTTTCATTTACTCATAATTCTAAAGCTATGTTAAATGAAAGATTCATGGATAAATTATCAACCATTTATGATCGCTTTTCTTTGACGCAATTTTTCTAATTTTTATAAAATAGCTGAATTTACAGTTTATTTTTAATATATTGTTTCTACCCAAAGCTTAATAGACACCAGAGATTCTAAATTATAAACCCAAAGTTAGTAATCCTATTAATCCTTATAACTATACATCTTCAATGATAATTAACTACCCCGGGGTTTTGGGGTTTTGGGGTTTTGGGG